GCTTGGCCGGGGGTCCAGGGGGACTACAACTCCCAGCAGCCTCCGCGCGGCGCCACTTCCGGCGGAACGGGGCCAGGCCAGGGGGCGGAGATCGGTGAGCGGGGTGGGCTTTGGGGGGTTCAGGGGGGTCTTTGGGGGTTCAGGGGGCGAAAACGAACGGGGAGGATGTGAAGAATGGGGTGAGTGAGGGGAAAGAGGCGTGAGGAGGTGTTCGGGGCTCCCCTGGGTGGTGGCAGCTGGGCACCCAAAGGAACTACAACTCCCAGCAGCCCTCGCGCGGCGCCATTTCCGGCGGGGCCAGAGCGGCGGCGGGCGGTGAGCGCGGGGGGCTCGGAGGGCTGATTGGGGGTTCCAGCCCCACAGCACCCCCCTGTTTTGGGGTTCAGGCACACAGAACCCCCTGACCCTCTGATTTGGGGTCCCAGCCCCACAGCACCCCAAACCCGCTGATTTTGGGGTCCCAGCCCCAGCACCCCCCCCAGTTTTGGGGTCCTAGCCCCACAGCAACACAAACCCCCTGATTTTGGGGTCCTAGCCCCAGCACACCCTCTCGTTTTGGGGTCCCAGCCCCAGCACACCCCCCCATTTTGGGGTCCCAGCCCCAGCACACCCTCTCGTTTTGGGGTCCCAGCCCCCCCAGTTTCAGGATGGACCCGTCGGAGCCGGGCAGCGCTGCCGAGGACGAGGAGGAGAAGCTTCCAGAAGTTCGGCCTCGCACCCGCTCGAACCCCGAGGGCGCCGAGGACCGAGCCCCGAGCGGCCTGGGCAGCGTGGGCACCCGGGGGGACACCGTGGGCACCCGGGGGGACACCGTGGGCACCCGCGGGGACACCGTGGGCACCCGGGGAGAGGCCGTGGGCACCCGGAGCGAGGGCAACCGGGCAGAGGCCGTGGGCAACCGGAGCGAGGGCGAGGGCGAGGCGGCCAGCGCCGGGCACAGCCCCCCCGGGCAGCCTGGCACGGCCTGGCACGGCCCCGGCGGTGCCCAGCACGGCGAGGTGACCGTGAGAACGCCCCGGGTGAACTGCCCCGAGAAGGTGGTGAGGAAGGACTGGGAGGGGACTGGGAGCACTGGGGGGCTGGCAGGGAGGATGGTGGGGGGATACTGGGAGTTCTCAGGGGGATAGTGGGGAATTATGAAGGGCTGTACTGGGGGATTCTCCAGGGGTGCAGGAGGGGCCCTGGGGACACTTTGGGGTCCCTGGGGACACTCGGGGGTCTCAGCCGTGCTCCCCCATCCCCCCCAGATCATCTGCCTGGACCTGGCTGAGGAGATGGCAGTGCCCAAACTGGAGTCCTTCAACGGGTCAGTGCCAGGGCACGGGGACAGGGACAGGGGATGGGGACAGGGCACGGGCACAGGGACAGGGACAGGGGATGGGGACAGGGGACAGTGCCAGGGCACGGGGACAGGGCATGGGCACAGGGGATGAGGACAGGGGACAGTACCAGGGCACAGGGACAGGGGACAGGGACAGGGGACAGGGACAGGGCACAGGGATAGGGGACAGTGCCGGGGGGGCTGGCTTTGGGGCCCTGAGCCCCAGCACTGATTTGTCCCTGTCCCCGTGCCACTCCCTGTCCCCGTCTCTGTGCCCATCCCTGTCCCCCCTGGTTTTGGGGTCTCTGACCCGGTGCCTGTTGGTGCCAGGTGTGGTTTCTGGGGTTTGTGTTGTGTTTGGGGTTTGTGTTTCTGGGGTTTGTGTTTCTGGGGTTGGTGGTGTTTGGGGTTTGTGATTTTGGGGTTTGTGAGTTTGGGGTTTGTGTTTTTGGGGTTTGTGGTTTGGGGGTTGGTGGTGTTTGGGGTTTGTGTGTTTGGGGTTTGTGTGTTTGGGGTTTGTGTGTTTGGGGTTTGTGTTTCTGGGGTTTGTGATTTTGAGGTTGGTGGTGTTTGGGGTGCCAGGGCTGTCTGTGTGTTTGGGGTTTGTGTGTTCGGAGTTGGTGGTGTCGGGGTGCCAGGGCTGTCTGTGTTTCTGGGGTTTGTGTTTCTGGGGTTTGTGTTTCTGGGGTTTGTGTTTCTGGGGTTGGTGGTGTTTGGGGTTGGTGGTGTTTGGGGTGCCAGGGCTGTTTGTATTTCTGGGGTTTGTGTGTTTGGGGTTGGCGGTGTGTTGGGGTTTGTGTGTTTGGGGTTGGCAGTGTCGGGGTGCCAGGGTGCCTCACCCGTGCCCGCAGGTGCCGCAGCAATGCCCTGACGGTGGCACAGAAGATGATCGAGATGTTCGTCAGGACCAAACACAAAATCGACAAAAGCCACGAGTTCGCCCTGGTGGTGGTGAACAACGATGCCACCTGGGTGGGTGACACGGGGGGCTGTTTGTGTTTCTGGGGTTTGTGTTTCTGGGGTTGGTGGTGTTTGGAGTTGGTGGTGTGTTGTGTGTTGGGGTTTGTGTTTCTGGGGTTTGTGTGTTTGGGGTTGGCGGTGTGTTGGGGTTTGTGTGTTTGGGGTTGGCAGTGTCGGGGTGCCAGGGTGCCTCACCCGTGCCCGCAGGTGCCGCAGCAATGCCCTGACGGTGGCACAGAAGATGATCGAGATGTTCGTCAGGACCAAACACAAAATCGACAAAAGCCACGAGTTCGCCCTGGTGGTGGTGAACAACGATGCCACCTGGGTGGGTGACACGGGGACACGGGCACAGGGTGGGGACAGGGACGGGGATGGACACGGGGTGGGGACAGGGATGGCGATGGGCATGGGGAACTGGCAGAGGGGACAGGGATGGGGACAGTGGGGGGCTGAGGTGTCGGGGGACGGGGATGGGGTGGGGACAGGGACAGGGAAGGGCAAAGGTTGGGGACAGGGACAGGGACACGGGTGGGGACAGGGACAGGGATGGGCACAAGTTGGGGACGGGCAGGGACGGGGATGGGGACAGGAACGAGGACGGGGATGGGGACAGGGACAGGGATGGGCACGGGTTGGGGACAGGGACGAGGACAGGGATGGGGACAGGGACAGGGATGTGCATTGGTTGGGGACAGGGACGGGCAGGGACGAGGACAGGGATGGGGACAGGGACAGGGATGTGCATGGGTTGGGGACAGGGACGGGGATGGGGACAGGGCCGAGGACAGGGATGGGGATGGGGACAGGGACAGGGATGGGCACGGGTTGGGGACAGGGACGAGGACAGGGATGGGGATGGGGACAGGGACAGGGATGTGCATGGGTTGGGGACAGGGACGGGGATGGGGACAGGGCCGAGGACAGGGATGGGGATGGGGACAGGGACAGGGATGGGCACGGGTTGGGGACAGGGACGAGGACAGGGATGGGGATGGGGACAGGGACAGGGATGTGCATGGGTTGGGGACAGGGACGGGGATGGGGACAGGGCCGAGGACAGGGATGGGGATGGGGACAGGGACAGGGATGGGCACGGGTTGGGGACAGGGACGAGGACAGGGATGGGGATGGGGACAGGGACAGGGATGTGCATGGGTTGGGGACAGGGACGGGGATGGGGACAGGGCCGAGGACAGGGATGGGGATGGGGACAGGGACAGGGATGGGCACGGGTTGGGGACAGGGACGAGGACAGGGATGGGGATGGGGACAGGGACAGGGATGTGCATGGGTTGGGGACAGGGACGGGGATGGGGACAGGGCCGAGGACAGGGATGGGGATGGGGACAGGGACAGGGATGGGCACGGGTTGGGGACAGGGACGAGGACAGGGATGGGGATGGGGACAGGGACAGGGATGTGCATGGGTTGGGGACAGGGACGGGGATGGGGACAGGGCCGAGGACAGGGATGGGGATGGGGACAGGGACAGGGATGGGCACGGGTTGGGGACAGGGACGAGGACAGGGATGGGGATGGGGACAGGGACAGGGATGTGCATGGGTTGGGGACAGGGACGGGGATGGGGACAGGGCCGAGGACAGGGATGGGGATGGGGACAGGGACAGGGATGGGCACGGGTTGGGGACAGGGACGAGGACAGGGATGGGGATGGGGACAGGGACAGGGATGTGCATGGGTTGGGGACAGGGACGGGGATGGGGACAGGGCCGAGGACAGGGATGCGGATGGCAACTGGGATGGGCACAGGTTGGGTACAGGAACAGGGTGGGCATGCGGGATTGGCAGAGGGGACAGGGCAAAGGGATTGGCACAAGGGACAAGGAGAGGCACAGGGATGGGGACAAGGGACAGGGCCGGTGCCAGCGCGGTGCCCCCGCAGCTCTCGGGGTTCACGTCGGATCCCCGCGAGGTTTGCAGCTGCCTCTACGACCTGGACACCGTCGTGTGCCAGTCCTTCAGTATCCTGCCGTGCCACCGCGTGCCAGGGCTGCCATTGGGCTGTCCTGGGTGCCAGGGGTGTCCCTTCTTTGCCACCAGGGCCACCGGGATGCCACTGGGGTCCCTTGGGTGGCATCGGGGTGTCTTGGGTGCCAGGGTGGCCCTGGGGTGGCCCTAGGGGTGGCACAGATGTCTGTGTGGCCCTGAGGGTGTCACGGGTGTCTGGGTGGCCCTGGGGGTGGCACAGGTGCCAGGGTGGCCCTGGGGGTGGCCCTGGGGTGGCTCTAGGGGTGGCACAGGTGCCAGGGTGGCCCTGGGGGTGGCACAGGTGCCAGGAGCAGCCTTGACCCCAAGCTCAGATCTGGACGGGCTCTTCAACCTCATGTGAGCACCGGGGGGTTCTGGAACGTTCCGGGGGAGGGGGCAGGAGGGCTTGGAGGGTGCCAGGGGAGGGTGGCACCTGAGCCCTGTCCTCTGTCCCTGTGGCTGCCACCCTGACCCAGGGGTGCCACCTGTCCCTGTCCCCTGACCCCAGGGGTGCCACCCTGTCCCCTGTCCTCTGTCCCCGTGGGTGCCACCCTGACCCAGGGGTGCCACCTGTCCCTGTTCTCTGTCCCTGTGGGTGCCACCCTGTCCTGTCTCCATCCCTGTGGGTGCCACCCTGAGCCCGTGGGTGCCACCATGTCTTGTCCCTGTATGGGTGCCACCCTGTCCCCATCCCTGTCCCTGTGGGTGCCCTCTGTCCCCATGGGTGTCACCCTTTCCCTGTCCCCATCTCTGTCCCTGTTCCCGTGGATGCCACCCTGTCCTTGTCCCTGTGGGTGCCACTCTCTCCCTGTCCTGTCCCCATGGCTGCCACCCTGACCCCGTCCTTGTCCCCTGTGTCTCCATCCCTGTCCCATCCCCATCCCTGTCCCTATCCCTGTCTCTGTGTCCCTGTCCCCACGCTGTCCCCACACTGTCCCCACGCTGTCCCCGTGTCCCTCTCCCCACGCTGTCCCCGTGTCCCTGTCCCTACGCTGTCCCCGTGTCCCTGTCCCCGTGTCCGTGTCCCCACGCTGTCCCCGTGTCCCTGTCCCCATGTCCCTGTCCCCACGCTGTCCCCGTGTCCCTGTCCCCTGCAGCCAGCAGAAGGTGGAGCTGCCGGTGACCGACAACGTCCAGACCATCCCGCCGCCCTTCGTGGTCAGAACCATCCTGGTGTTCGGGCGCCCGCGCTGCCAGCCGCACTTCTGCGGGGGCGAGCACGTCAAGGTCTGTGCCACCCACACCCCCTGTGCCACCCTGTGCCTCATTTGTGTTTTTCCTTTTTTATTTTCTTTATTTATTTCTTTATTTTATTTTTTTCCCCAAAATTTCCCCCCAAATTCCTCCGTTTTTTCCCCTCATTTGTCCCCATCTTTCCTTTTTTATTTTCTTTTTCCCCCCCTGATTTTCCCCCCTTTTGTGGGACTGGGGGGGTTTGGAGGGGATGTGGGAGTGGTTTTGGGGGGAAATTGGTGGAAAAAGGGGGGATTTGGGGTGGAAAAAGGGGGGAAAGATAGGATTTGGGGGGGGAAGGGAAATGGGGTGGGAATGGGGGGATTTAGGGTGGGAATTGCAGGATTTAGGGAAAATGGAGTGGGAATGGGGGATTTGGGGGAAAATGGGAGGATTTAGGAGGAAATGGGGTGGGAATGGGGGGATTTAGGGGGAAATGGGGGAATTTAGGGGAAATGGGGTGGGAATTTAAGGATTTAGGGGAAATGGGGTGGGAATGGGGGGATTTAGGGGAAATGGGATGGGAACGGGGTGGGTTTGTGGAGGATCACCAAGAACAGAATGACAAAAAGGACAGAATTCCGTGGGAAATTTTTAGCCAAAGTGGGAGGACAAAAAGAGGAGAATTCTCAGGATTTAAGCTCAGGATAAGCCAGCTTCGAGCCCGTTGTGTCCCCGTTGTGTCCCTCCCCAGGACATGTTCGGGTTTTTCGGCAGCCTGGACACCAAAGGCACCAACTACAAGTACGAGGTGGCCCTGGCGGGGCCGGCGCTGGAGCTGCACAACTGCATGGCCAAGCTGCTGGCGCATCCCCTGCAGCGGCCCTGCCAGAGCCACGCGCACTACGCGCTGCTGGACGGGGGGGACAGCCCCGAGGGGGACGCCACCGCCTGAGGGGACAGCCCCCCGGGGAGGGGACAGCCCCCGGGGGAGGCCACCAGCTCAGGGGACAACCCCCGGGGGAGGCCACCCCTTGAGGGGACAGACCCCAGAGAGGGGACAGCCCTGAGGGCAAGGCCACCCTTTGAGGGGACAGCCCCCTGAGAGAGGCCACCGGCTCAGGGGACAGACCCCAGAGAGGGGACAGCCCCCGGGGGAGGCCACCCTCTGAGGGGACAGCCCCCGGGGGAGGCCACCCTTTGAGGGGACAGCCCTGACAGCAAGGCCACCCTCTGAGGGGACAGCCCCCGGGGGAGGCCACCCTTTGAGGGGACAGCCCCCGGGGGAGGCCACCCTTTGAGGGGACAGCCCTGACAGCAAGGCCACCCTCTGAGGGGACAGCCCCCAGTGTGATGCCGCTGCCTTAGGGGACAGCCCCCAGAGAGGGGACAGCCCTGAGGGGGAGGCCACCTTTTGAGGGGACAGCCCCCCAGAGAGGGGACAGCCCCCGGGGATGCCACCAGCTCAGGGGACAGCCCCAACAGGGAGGTCACCTTTTCAGGGGACAACCCCTCTGAGGGGACAGCCCTGACAGCAAGGCCACCCCTTGAGGGGACAGCCCCCAGAGAGGGGACAGCCCTGAGGGCGATGCCACTGCCTGAGGGGACAGCCCCAACAGGGAGGCCCCCTTTTGAGGGGACAGCCCCAGAGAGGGGACAGCCCTCAGGGGGTGGCCATGCCTGAGGGGACAGCCCCTCTGAGGGGACAACCCTGAGGGGACAGCCCCCAGAGAGAGGGGACAGCCCTGAGGGAGGGGACAGCCCCCGGGGAGGCCACCAGCTCAGGGGACAACCTCGACAGGGCGGTCACCCTCTGAGGGGACAGCCCCCAGACAGGGGCAACCCCGAGGGCCAAGCCACCAGCTGAGGGGACAGCCCTGCCACCCTCTGAGGGGACAGCCCTGAGGGCAATGCCACCACCTGAGGGGACAGCCCTGAGGGCAGTGCCACCCTCTCAGTGCCACCCTCTAGGGGACAGCCCTGAGGGCAGTGCCACCCTCTCAGTGCCACCCTGAGGGGACAGCCCTGTGAAAAACGCCAATCCCTCGTTTGTAAAATCTGGAAAGTTGAATAGAAATAAAATGGTTCTAAAAAAGTCGTAAAGCTGGAGGAACAAAGATTGGGACAGTTGGGGTTTGGCACAATGGGAGGCAACAAAAATAAAGAGTTAGGGATGGTCTGGGTGGAATAAACCCGAAAAAGGACACAGAAAGGGGTTTGGGGGAAGATTTGGGGGGTTGATCCCCGTTTGTCACAGCCCGAGGGCCAGGCCCCCTCTGAGGGGACAGCCCTGGTGGCACCTGTGAGCAAAGAGAATTTCCCTGACTGGTGGTGTCGTGGTGGTTTTGGGGGATTGGGGCCACCTCTGCTGGCCCTGTGTCCCCTCTGCTGGCCCGGTGTCACCTCCAGGTCACGGGGATCGAGGTCCAGTTGATGGCACTGGTGGCACCGGGCAGTGCCGGTTTGGGGACATTGGGGACACTGGTGGCACTGGTGGCGCTGGGCAGTGCCAGTTCTGGCCACTGGGGGGCGCTGAGTGCCGTGGCCCTGCCCCCTGAGTGTGACGTCACCGCCGCGATGGGCGTCACCCCAAAACCATCCCCGACCCCAAATCCCCCAACCCGAAACCCCCATTCCCAATCCCAAATCCTGAATCCCCAATCCCGCACAAATCCCAGCCCAGCCCAGGATTCTGCTCCGGGTCAAATCCTCTGAATCCCGAATTTCCAGGGCTGAGTTGATTTTTTCTGATAAAGGAGCAATAAATTCATTTTCTCTGAAAGACTCCGGTGTCTCAGCGCCGCTCCCTCGCTCCTCTCTTTAAAAAATCATCTCACACAGCAAATTTTCTATTTCAGTTCCTTTTTAGTTTCTGTTTTATGTTATAACCTAAAACCGTGTTTACCACACTGCTTGAGGGAATGAACACAGCATCCCTTTCTACAATGTTCATCTGAATATTTGCAAAAGCCGCTCATAAAATCCCCGTTTGTCACAGCCCGAGGGCCAGGCCCCCTCTGAGGGGACAGCCCTGGTGGCACCTG